GTGACTTTATCGGCTAAATTACTGGCAAGAAGTTCGAGAGAATTGACATTTCGAGAAAATCGACGATACAAACGTTTAGTTAAACGACAATTGCAAGGTGAACAAATTTCATTTTGTACTTGATAGTTTCTTAAGCTGAATTTTTCGTTGTAGATTGTAATCCGGCAAATTGTGCTGTCCCAAATTGTGGACGCGATTTTATTGCTATGCGTTTGTCAAACGAATGCTGTGAAAAATGTGTTCGTAAGTATTATATTATGAAGGCAATATCCGTGCCGTTTAGTTGGTTATTCGTTTTGTAATAGCTAATGAATATCAACAATCGATCGTCCAACAGGATCCACAAAGTCAATATGGTTATGATCGATATCCTTATCAACGACCTCAGTATCCATCGGAACCATCATATCCATATTCACCACCACAGCAACAGCAACCACAATGGAGTCAACCACGTGTCGATGTATACATATTTGGTCCAGATGATGGTGCTAAAGTATCAGATGGTCAAAGCATCTATTTTGATTGTGAAGTTGTCGCACCGTACCAACAAAATGTTCAACCAAGATGGACACGTCAAGGAAATCAAGTATGTATTTTGTTATTAAGTCATGTGAGCGCGATCTATATAAAACGAATAGTGACATTGTATTGACAGAGGCTGTTTTTTAAGTATTTCATTCACAACAATAGGGATTTTATTATCATTGGTTTTTCAGCCATTACCATACAAAGCTAGAAGTGCACCGTTAGAAGGAAATCGAAAAATCGTTCGTCTAACAATCCCTGATGCATCATCAAGTGACGCAGGACGATATGAATGTAATGCCGGTACTGGAAATGCTGCTGATTCAGCATCAATCGATTTACAAGTAAAGAAAATTGCTAATTCAATCTAATATAATGTTGCATGTTCAACACTCTCTCTTATATTGTACAGGTAACGGCAGGCGGTCAGTACCCAAGACCTGCACAACCTGCACAACCTGCGCAACCTTATAATCCTTACGGCGACCAGTCCGGTTATAATCAACAATATCCTTACTACCCAGGGGGTTATAATTATCCTCAACAGCCTCAACAACCTCCACAGCCTCAGCCAAATTATCCATATGATTCTAATTATCAGCCTGCGCAACCACAACCTCCTGCGTATGATCCATATAATCAACCTGGTTATCCTTATTCGAATGAAAATCCGCAGCAACCACCAAACAAACAACCAGAATCTCCTCCAGCACAAGATGCAAATGACGATGATTCAGATACAAATGAAGATGAAGACGATGCCCCAGAAGCTGCTAAAACAACAGTTCCTGCCCCTGTAGAACCCGCAAAACCAAGTGCTCCTGAGCCAGCAGATGATGCAGCAACAGACTATGATGAAGGTTATGATGATGAGATGACAAAATAAAAGACATATTTACACGCATATATTTCCTCTCCATTAATATTCATACGTCTAATTGACTATTATCGTCAACGAAAGTCTCACCTATACTAGATGTTGCTATTACAGTGAATCATGATATTGTAGCACATACACGCACCGTTCTACTTTTTTTATAC